GCAGTCATATTATGAGACTGCCAGTATTTGGAGACATGATTCACCTGTGAAGGGAGAAACCAGAGGATTCCCAACATTTACTGAATCATATTTCAAGTTTTGAGGTTTGTTTTTTTTTTTCCTTTAAGATGTTAAACTTTTTTTTTTTTTTTTTAATTTATGAAATGCCTCCACTCACAAATGCTCTTTTCTCAGACTTGCACATCCAGCATCTGAGCACTCATTAAGTCTCTGCCATGCTTGGAAACCATCTAAGAATTACTAAAAAACCTACCAAAAGGTATGAAATGCACTCCCAGCAGCCTGAGCAGAAGGCAGCATTTTCTTCTAATTCCCAAGTTTTCAGCTGGCATTTCATAAAGAACCTCTGAAGGCCACAGAAGGCACCTCAGGAAAGGAACCTTGGTGTCAGTTGACTCAAGTTCACCACACAAATGTTCCTCATTTCCAGCAGGAAAGAACTTGGGTGGTTTTAAGTGAGAGGCTGAAAACCCCCGAGGATACTTCTCTAAACTTGGAACGTGAAGTAAGCGAAGAGAAAAGTGGCCCCTGTAACTTGGCAGATGAAGAATTACAGAGAAAACCTCTCTCTGTCCCAGGTCAGGCCCTGGCACAGGTTGCCCAGAGAAGCTGTGGATGCCCCTGGATCCCTGGAAGTGTCCAAGGCCAGGTTGGACAGGGCTTGGAGCAACCTGGGATAGTGGGAGGTGTCCCTGCCCATGGCAGGGGATGGAATTACATGATCTTTAAGGTCATTTCCCACCCAAACCCTTCTGGGATTCTATGAAAAGCGGCCTCTTTTCATCAGTTTATGGCAGTTTAAGTGAAGTCCCCAAGTCCCTCCTGCCTGGTAGTCCGTGCTCAGCAGAGCCTGCTGAGGTCCCCTCCCAAAACAAGCATCACAGCTGAATGCCAGAGTTGTGAAATAATTACTGCCCTGTGAATTTGAGCAGCTCCTCGCAGCTCTGCAGCTTTATAAACAGGAAGTGTGAAGTTGTGCATTCATACCTGCTTTCATCATATGACAGAGCCCCAGAGCCATCAAATCCTGGCTAGCACAACAAGCCTGGCTGTATAATCTGCACTGTCTCCACAGTGGCTCCTATTCATCCTGAGAGCTGCAAAAAAAAGGGCTAAGAGAGAGCTGGGCATTTTCATCACATGCCTCTGAAAGTCAGGGCTCCACCAACCAGAAAGGCACAGGTTTACACCTCTAAAAAACCACCCAGTCTGAAGAACCCTCACCTCCCCGGAACATTCAAGTCCTGCTTTTCAGTTATGAGAGAAAATAAAGTAGAGCAACTTCCCTCTTGGAATGCAGAAAGAAAAGAGAATAAAGCACTGAAATGGTTCCCTGATCATCTCCCCTAAAAACATGTCTGGGGTTGAAGAAGTTAATTTTATAATCTGGAGTAATAAAAAGTGGTTTCCCCTGGGCACAAGGGCTGAGTCCATGGATTTGTCACCAGGCTGAGATGGACAACCTCAAATAGATGATTATATATATTTGCACAAGTTTTCCATCATCCCTCTGTCAGATTTATTACATCTGTACTGGAGGATGTTAATGATCAGACACCAGATATATTTGCCTTGATTTAAATAAAACAAATGTAGCTATTTTTCAAATTCAATCAAGGCACAAGAGGTCATTAACAAGATTTATCCTCTGCCCATCACACAACATTAGTCATTACTGGCACTCACACTAAAACCAACCTTCTTGTGGATTAAAGTGGGTTTGCAGCGCCTTGACGGGCCTGGAGTCCTCCAGCTGGTACCACCTTTGAGATACACCATGAGGAAGGAAAACTGCCCTCAAAAACTACTATTTCATGAGCTCTCCAGAGGCAAAACCTGGGGAATTGATACACCTGCCAGTATTTTACATTTCTGAACAAAAGCACTGGGTTTGTGCTTTCTTTTTGCTCTTTTTCTCGCTGTGCACAAAACCAGCCCCAAGGAAATGGATTTAATCAGCAGCCACTCATTCCTCCAAGCCCCTCACCCCCTGCCCACGCTGATGCTGTGGCAATTCCCCTTCTCCCACCCTGAATTTCACCCTGCTTTAAGCAGAAGGAAAACTCTGCCTTCCCCCCCAGCCCAGATCTGACAGATCTATGATTATTCACTGACATTTCTTGTGTTACCTGACTCAGTATTTAGCACAGATAAGCTGGAACTGCTCTGAGTCAGACCTGCCCTAAGCAGCATTCACAGAAACTTTGGCCACACGGTCTGTAGTTTCATAATTTTCAAGCACTTTCATGAATTTCTGCTGTCTGTGATTATCCCCTGAAAGTTACTGAGGCAGACACATCAAGAGTCACTGGAAAATAAAGTCCTTAGGGATCTGAAATAAACTGGCCACCAACACCACACAGACATCTCTTTCCTAGGGAATTCTTATTAAAATATTCTAGAGACAACACAGTGCAGGAGCTGCTGGGATAATACAGCAGGAATAAAATACAACAGTATTGGAGATAATACAAAAGTCATAAAAAGGCTCCTCCCACCTTTCCCACAGCGACACCCCAAGCAGTGCCTTTGGATACCACAAATAAATGACCACAAGTGGTAAAATACGTGAAAAGAGGGGTCTGAAGTAGCATCCCTTCCTTCCCAAAGTGCACAGCCAGCCTGGGATCTCAGGGAGACCAAAGTGGGGCTCTGTGTGACCGGCACTGGTGGACACAACTCCAGGGTGCCCATCCAGGGCCACATCCCCCACAGCACAGCCAGGGAAAAAGAAACCAGCAGGAATACCTGATGTTCCAGGGTGGGAAAAGGCCACTAACGCCAGCCGGCTGTCACACTTCCATCTCCTCCAACACAAGTTACATTTTAGCTACAGTTATTTATACTGTGAGCCTTTAACCACAATGAGTCTCCTCACCTTCACAGCCTTCGGTTACTCCCAAAAATGGAATGGCAATAAATAAAACTGATGGTCAGTCAGAGCTCAAATCCCTTATTTTCTGAAGCAGCATTTATCCAGATATTCTGAACAACTGATATGAAAACGAGTGTCTCAAAAATACGATCACGCCATCCTGAATGATCAGTTAACCACTAGTGAGCACCCAGAAAGAATTCAGGTGAAGAACCTGTACAATGTATCCCAATATAAAACTTTCTCAGCATTTAACGACCACTCAGCAGTGTCAGAGAAGGCAGATCTAACCAGAGATAAATAGCTTTGGCTTTCTTTTTTTTTTTAATGTTTGTGTTTATCCATTATCTCTGTTTGTGTCCACAGAAATGCCCCAAGTACCAGCACAGTTCTGTGCAAGGAAGAATGGCCTAACAAATAATGTTTTGATAACTAGCCTGTTTTATACATACAGTGATTCACTGGTTAAGTAAACAACATAGTTATTTAGCAAAACATCAATTTATAACAGAGTGCCTAAAACAACCTTTCTGTTCTCCTACAGAAAAACAGTATTGAATGTCTCATATAGAGAAGAATAACACGAAATAAAACAACAGCAAAGGAAAACATTACATCCACTGCGCAGAAATAATTTCAAGTAACTTTTTAGCAGATCAACCTTATTAATTATGGAACATACAGAGCAAGTTAAGAGTTTGAAGCGTTTAAATCTCACGTTAAAATTCATTTCTTCTTATTTATGAGCTTTGAAATACACATTTTGACCGAATGAGCGTGTTTTCCACCTAAGAGCTTCTTCCTGGTATATTCAGCTTCACACCTCTTGCCAAGCTGCATTTGTGACTCCAGCTCCTCCAAAAATACCAAAGCTTTTAAACACTTCCTATACTTTCACTAGCAGTGAAATCCTTCAGGGCTGATGTGTTTAAAATACGTAACGTGAGTTTGAATCACAGATTTGCTTCTTCTCCTTGACAGTACGTTGCTCCATTTCCTACTGGCATGGCATCCCCTCAGAGGCCCCACCAGGAAAAAAAAAAAAAAAATCCAGAAAATATTTCATAAAAATTCCCCTTTCACATCAATTTGTTTCTCTTTCAATGAACAGCCAGCGGTTCCACCCAGCTCTCCCTTATCACTCCTGCCATGCCTCTCACAGAACGGGCAGCCATGGACGGGCCTGAGCTCATGAATTTTATCCAGGCTTTCGCTATCAAACAGGTGAGCTGCTTTACCTGCACTGCCCGCGAACGCTCATGGGGCAACCACCGCAAACACCTGCCCTGCCTGCGAACCATTCCCTGCCGAAAATTCCTGTCCCTCTTTGTCCTTGGACTTGGCTATCACTTCCAGAGCCAGGGAGCTGCCAGGGTGTAGCTGCTGTCGCCTTGGAGCCCTGCAGCTGCGAGCATTCACCATTCAGCTTGTTTATGTTTTTTTCCCCCCTCGCTGGTTCCTCTTTAAATTCTCCGGGAGGGCTCTAGAAACGGGCTGGGAACAGCCACACGGATCCCAAAAAAATCCCGCACGCGCCACATCCACCTCCCCGCCGCGGCGGCTGCAGATGCGCGATCCCCGGGCACGGGGGAAGTAAACACGAGGGATGGGAGAGCCGGGAGCTGACAGACAGCCCTGTCACACCGGGATGGCAGCATTTCCCGATTTATCCAGGGGGAGAGCCGGCGGAGCGGCAGCGAAAGGGAAAGGCCGGGCCGAGGGCGGCGGGAGGGTCCTGGCGGTGGGGACGGGAAGGCAGAGAGCGGAGTGTGGCGGGGGGGGGGGGGGGGGGGGGGGGGGGCCTTCCGCGGTGAAACAGGGGGGGAGACACCAAAATAAATAGATGGAGAGACACTGAAATAAAAAGACGGACAGATAAATAAATAAATGCCGGGGTGCGGGGGGGGGAAGGGTGGCGAAAGGGGGCGGGGAAGGAGCCCGAGGGAGAAGCCCGAGCGGCGCAAGTGCCTCCGCGCGGGGTCCGTCATGGAGGTGCCGCCTCACCGCCCGCTGCCGGGGGGCAGCGCGGGGAGCCCCCCCCTCACACACACACACACCCCCCACCCGCACACCCCACCCCGCCCCGGCCCCGCCGCCCCCTCACCCCTCCGCAGCGCCTCGTCGTAGCCGAGGAAGCCGATGCGGGACTCCTTGGCGCCCATGGTGCCGCTCAGTCCATGGCGGCGGCGGCGGCGCCCGGCGGAGCCGCTACCGACGGACGGGGCGGGGCGGGGCGGGGCGGAGGGAGAGGGGGGGGGGAAGCGGCGAGGGAGGGGCGGGGCCTCCCGGGAGGGGGCGGGGCGAGGAGGAGGCCGCGCGCCCGCCCCGCAGCCGCCTCCATGCCGGGTCACGTGGGCCCGGCCGGGGAGGGGCGGGGAGGGAGGGGAGAATGGAGGGGGTGAGGGAGCGCGCGCGCACCGCCTCACGTGGCCGCGGAGGGCGCGCGCGCGCGCGGGGCGGGGCTGCCATTGGTCGCTGGGGTGAGCGGGGGGGGCGGGAATCGCGTGCACTGCCCCCCCCCCTCCCCCCCCATTCCCCTCAGCCCTCAGGGGGAGCTGAGGCGGGAACCGGGAGTGGGATGGTTCGGGTCCTGCTTCAGCTTCTGGCCCGGCCCAAGTGGCCGCAGAGGAAGGGCCCTGCGAGGAGCGGGGAAGGGTTTTTTGCTGGCGCTGCCCCCCTGGCACAGGATCTCTCTCTCTCTCTCTCTCTCACAGTTTTTGGCGCTTGTGAAAGTGGCGGCGCTTCACGAAACACGCGCCTGGAAGAAGGGAGGGAAAGGCTACGGGGCATGAGAGGAAGGGCCTCAGCGCTCTGTGGGAGGGTGAGGATCCGGCCCTTTAGCCCCCTCCAAACCTTACGGGGAACGGGACCCTCAGACAGCTCAAACCTCACAGGGAAACAGCCCCTTGAACCTCTCGGGGAACTGGACACTCAGCCCTTCAAATGTCACAAGGGGATCAGCCCTTCATCCCCCCTCAAACCTCACGCGGAGATCAGCCCTTCCCTTCATCCCCCTCAGACCTCGCAGGGAGATCAGCCCTTCATCCTCCTCAAACCTCACAGGGGGATCAGCCCTTCATCCCCTTCAAACCCCACAGGGAACAGCCCTTCAAGCCCATCAAACCAGTGAGCTGGACCCTCAGCCCCCTCAGGGATCAGCCCTTCAGCCCCTCAGACCTCACAGGGGATGGTGGTTCTCCTCAGAAAGTCCTCTGAGGAGCAGGGCTGCAGCCACAGGGTGACAGCTGGAGTTCCCCATTCCATTAAAATGCCTTTTCACTGTCTGAAACAGAAACTCGGGCTGAATGGTAAAAGGATCAAAACCACCCCTGCCCTTTGCTGTTCTCCAGCATGTTTGCTTTTAGTATTCAGCCCAGCACTGACACAGAATGGGAGGATTTCCCAAATGGCTTTGTTACAACATTAAGCCTGGTAACCTACCCTGGGTCACTCCTGAGCAGAAAACAAGGAGCCTGAAAGAAAAACATCGATTTCCAAGGGCAGCTAGTTCCAAGGATTGTTCCTGCACTGAAACAAAGCCCGTGAAAACACCAGTTGCGAGTCATTCCCTAAGTTCCCGTTTCCACAGGGAATGATCTTGCCACATCAGAGCTGCAGAAAGGTCACGCCGGAGTTACTTTCTCGCTGATGTAAGTTCATGCGTAGGTATTTTTATAGCAAACATTCCAGACAAATTTCAGATCTGATAGGCAAAGCCAGGAATGCTGCTCACAGAGACAGGCAGCTCGAAGGCCAAACTTCTCCTCATGTGACCCAAGTGCAAAGACACAACAAAGGAAATAAGCTTCAGAAAAGCCTCCTTATATTTTTCTTTTTCCTGCCACCATCTGAACTGTTTATTATCTTAGATTTGTGACATATAATTATTCAAGAAAAAAAAGCTGCTACTTTTGCCTCTCTGGAATATATAGGCTATGAGGATGAGGAGGGGGAAGCTTAAGTGATTCTTAAAAATATAAATTAAACTAGTGGAAACGTATTTCACCCACCAGCCACTTGTTATGTATTTATCATTTAAAGAGCAAAGGTAAGAGAAAAGGTAAATGTAAAGGTAGCATAGGAATAAGAGGATTTAAGCTCCCTTGAGGCCTCACCAGCACTTTGCGAAGTTATTCCATTTTTATCTGTTATGTCATGACAGGACCTCTCTTTGTAGCTTGAACAAACCTTACTCTCAGGCAGCAGAGATTATCAGACAGCATTGGGGGTTTATTGACAACTGGTTCCCTTGCTAAATCATGAAAAAAAATGAATGGTTAAAATTATAATGACAAATCAGGTCCTGTCACAAGCAGCTGGCTTGGTACAAATGAGGAAACAGAACCCTCTAGTGAGGAGTCCCTTCCTCTAGAGGAAGGAAAGGGGATTGATGGTTCATAATAACACTTCATATTAAAAAGTAAAAATGCTTAAAAAATATGCATTACCTTAAAACTTGCTGCTTTTCCCGGTTTCCAAGACTCACCCTGCATTTTTGTGTGACACTTTAAAAAACCCCAACCAAAGGGACACCTCTCACATCCCAGAGATACAAACCACGTCTAACAACCAGTAGGACTCTGTCGGAAGAGTCCTTTAAAATCATTTACTGAACCCATTGTATGCACCAAATTTAATAACGAGGATATTGTGGAGTGGGAAGCGGGGCTGGAGCTCCCGGTGGCAGTGCCTTTGTTCCGATTCAATTAAGCATGTTCTCAAAGGCACTGGAGCAGGAACCTGAGATAAGGCTGCGTGTGCTGAGCGTGGACTGGAGCTGGCACTGACTCGTTAATGAAGCCTCACTGGGGAGCACAGGGGTGTAGATGCTGCCACTGTTCAAGTGCCGTGTCAAAGGTAAATCAAATTAAGGTACACTGAGTTTAGACTTGTGTTAGATGGATTGAGCTCCTCTTGTGATATAGAAGTGCTGCACACGCAAGTCGCCCTGGCCACCTGTCCTTTGGATTGCTGGGATTGAGTTAATTATTCGCTGATCACAAATTCATTCCTGAGCACTTAGCAAATATCTTTAAGTGTCTTCGCATCTCTGTCAGGTACCTGTGGCAAAGCACATATTGACTTTTACCCCTTCCTCCTTCCCAGACAGCCCTGAGAGAAGTGCAGCAGAGCACATCCCAAATATGTGGGAAGAGCAGAGGGGGGCAGAGACATCAAGGTGCAATAGGAGCATCCACTACGGCAGGCCTGAGGTGTTCAGAGGTAACTGGATTCATATCTCTCTAATGACACTGAACTGATGGAGGAGAAAAATACCCCGAATCATTGTCTGATTTTTCAGAGGGAGAGGGGAAACACAAAAGGTTTCCTCAGAGAGCAACAGAACTACACTTGCAAATTGAAACTGCTATCACATTTTCTAGGAAACAAGTGGTTTAGAGTAGTAGCACAGGGGGATGTTTGTTGCAGATTTATATAAACCAGGGGAGAGAAAAAAGGGAACAAATTCTTACCAGAACCCTCCTATTGTTATCCTGTAAGCTGCACTCCCACACTATTGCCAACACAGACTTGGTGGTGAAATACTGCAGGGGAAAATAAAAAAAAATTGATTTAAAATTTTGTTAATTAAATTACATTGAATTTTAATAAAAATTTAAAAAGAGAAGACCAAAACAAAGGTAATAATTCTAGAATCCAGTTTTAATAAGCTCATTATAACTAGCAACAGATAAGAAAATGAAATCTTAACATCATCTTCTTTCTCAGGAAGCCCCACCGTGTTGTTAATAAAATTTGTGTTTATTTTTTGGCCCCAGACACTCAAATTGCAAGCGCAGCAATCATCCCCATGGAGAGGGGCTGTGCTCCAATGAAGGCAGGGCTGCAGGGTGGTGAAGCCAGGGGATGGGTTGGGTTTTTTTCCCCCCATTCCCAGCATGAGGACACCTCTCCCTTCAGCCCTGCCCCAGAGATCCCCATTCCCAGCAGTGCCGGGAGCTGAGCAGGTGCCCATCCCCACCCACCCTGGCACAGCCTGTGCCCCAACGGCCAGCCCTTCCCAGCACCTTCCCCTGCTGCTTCCTGGCACCTCATTGCCTGCTGTTTCCTGCTGAGTGGCAGGCAGGGCGGGGAGGCAGGAGGGAACAGCCTGTCCCTCTGTGCCAGGGGTGAGCTGCAGTGACAGCACAGTGGGGGTGACAGGCAGGTGACAGCCCCGCTCTGCACACCCGCACTGCCACACAGCCCTGCAGATCCAGCCGTGGCAGAGACGGGGCCCAGGGAAGGACAAGAAGGCAAGTGGGAGCATCCCACAGGCCTCCCTTGAGCTGTGGGCTCCCTCTGGGCAGTTCTGCCCCCCCTTTAGAGCAGAATTAATTACTGTGTTTGCTGAGCCACTTCCCCCTGGCTGGTGCTGCTCAGGGAGCCCGTGACAGGTTTGAAGGCACCCAGAAGTGCTGCTCACGTTACTGCTCCATCCACAACTTCAGCTCCTGTTATTAATAGTGGTACCCACACAGCCCAGGGAAGGGAGGCACGTCACACGCACCCAGAGCTATTTCAGGGTTTGTGGGTAAGTGATCCCCCACTTTTCCTGCAGTTGCCTTTGACAGACACAGAAGAAAACACCATAAGGCCCCCTCCACTCTCGATGTTCTCTTAGGCAGAGCCTCCCTGTGCGTGGAAGGGTGGCACGATCACACTCGAGGCCCACAGAGAACAGTGGAAAAAATCCCTTTTTTTTTTCCCTTGGCAGACTTTGCTGACATTTCTCCAACCCAGAAGTAACGAGTGGCCACAGCTATTGACAGCCACGAGGTAAGTGGAACGCGTTAGATGTTTCTATAAACACCACGTCCTTCCCGATTTTCTATCAACCTGTTTGATTATGCCACATCCAGGCGAAGTGTGACAGAATTAATCATCCTGCTGGGGTGCGCGCTGAGGGAAGGGAACAGACGAGCTTTGGCAAGGCTGTTGTTAGCACTGAGAAACTGTGACAAAAAAGAGGCAGACTGCAACCCAGACGTGTGTCATTCACCCAGTGAGACACGCTATGATTTATCAAGGCAACAACAATTGACGGGAACAGAGATCTCCCGTTTCAAAGTGTTGTCTCCGTGTAGATTAAGAGTAGTATCTGTCATCAGGAAACAATGGGAAAGGAAATATGTTTGATACCAGCGATCCTGTGCTCCCCGGGAGGCAGAAACCACGGTGCCGTTGGGATGGAAGTCAAGGATTTTTCTGCAAGTTCCATTCTGGGCAGCAAATAAAAAAAAAAAAAAAAAAAAAGTGTTGTGACAAGAGGAAGTGCAAATAATTAATGAGAGAAGATCAAATGAAAGGAGTGGCTTTGCACGGAGTGAGTAATGCTGAGTGTGTTGCAGCCCAGCCCAGAGTGCAGAGCAGAGCTGGCCCGGGCGCCCAGCGGGCCCTCGGCAGCAGCTCCACGGGCAGCTCTCCCTTTCAAAGGCAGGGCTGCTTCCCTCTGGGCTCCCCAGCTGCTGCACACGAGTCCCCAGCGCTGCAGCCTCTGCTGGGCACACAGAAAGCATCACCATCAAACACAGAACGAGCTCAGGAGCGCTGTGCCGGCAGCTGAGGGCAGTGGGAAGTGCATCCCAGAGCAGCAGGGCAGGGAGCGAAACAAAAGCCATCCTTGTGCTTCCCTTCATTCTGCCTCACATCTCGCATGGGAAGGCCAAAGCTTCTTGTTTGCTAATTAAGGTTTCACCCGATCCAAACACCCAACAAAGGGCATCCCCCAACCAGAGGAACCTGCCAGCCCTCCTGGCCCTGCCAGTGGGCTGATGGCTCAGTTGGGTGCTCTCCCAACACAGGGTGACAGAGCACTGGGCAGTGGCAATCACACACACACCCACCCACCTCTGACCGGGATCCAAAGGTTCCAGCACCCTGGGTTTGTTGTGCACACTCCAGACACCCCCAGACAGGGGTCCAACAGAAAGACATTAAAACAACAGAGCTCTGGTTTATGGTGTCAAATGGCTAATGACAGTAATTAAGGATTTAAAAGGCCTTTATCTAGGGGCATTATCTAAGATACCATCACGCCTGTAATCAGAGTCAGGGAAGAATTGCTTGATCAAGCCAAGAAGGCAACAAAAATAGCCCAACCACTTGCCATCTGCTGCAGCCACCACATCCCACCTCACTCCCTGCCTGCAGCAGTGTCACACCAGGACACAGATGAGCAGGTTGCGTCCCTGCCATTTCAGCTGAGCGTGCAGGGGCTGTTGAAGTGTTCCAGTGGGCTCCCAAAACAAAACATACGGCGCTGCTGGACCAGTAGCTCCAACAACACTGTGCTTTCCCTTTTTGTGGATCCACTGTGCCCATGCACAAGGTAAAGCAGTAGGGGTTAATCACAATTTTGCCTACTACATCAAGTATTGGCATGTGTATTTATTTTGTAAAACATACTGTTAACTGACCCATAAAAGCCTTTGGGTAGAAGTCCAGCTGCTCCTAGGAGAGCTTTTGACCCAGCAGCTCTTTTCAGCTATTGTAACAAAAATTAGGGCTGGGATATGGAGTAGACTCTTGAGCAGATTCTTTGCAGCAGAAGACAAGTTCAGAGTAGATGGAGGTTGCCAAATTGCCACAGTTTGAAAAAGAAAATTGGTACATTCAAGGAAGGAGCAATTTGAAGTTCTTATAAAACACTTGGACACCACGATGATGGGCAAAAGTTTCTCCACTCATTTTGCTGTCTCTTATCACTTCCCAGCTGTTTCTTCCCCTCTCAGGTAGTTCCAATCTACCCTTCTATTTTTACCCACACAGTTTGCTAACAGCCTTGGAGCTGAGATTCTGCTGCTGGTGATGAGGAGCCAGCTGTGCATCCCTGCAAGCTGCTGCATGGACGACCTTGAAATTTTCTGGAGATGCCTCTAAACAGTATTTCCCATCTCCCAGAGAGCATCTCTCTGGTTTTAGCATTAGAAATATATCCCTTCAGAGCATCCAGAGCATCGTGCAGATGTTTGCCAGGCTAATGCCAACCCAAACCCCTCCCCTGCCAGTGTCTAAGGAACAGCTCCTCCACCCCACTGTAGCCAGCCTAGGGAGCTCCTTTTGCTTCCTTCTCTGCAGGAATATTAACCCAGAATGAGAATGAGGATAGCTGTTAATTTTATGTCACAGCCAGAAAACTGAGGGCCTTCAGATCACACTTTTCTCCTCACTCCTTTAATTGCAAAATTATACTTCCAGGTTTGACACGAGTTTCTCACCTCCCTATTTTCAAGCTACTAGCAAACAAAAGCAGACAAAGATACTTTTTTTGCCCCCCTGCTCTGCAGAGCCTGCAGTGCTTTAATTTCAAATAGCTGAAACATTGCTAATTACCAGCATATTCTAACAAAACTTGTGATTTTACAGTGAGCTGTGTCAAACCAAACCAAATTATAGGTCAGAACATGCCAATCTTTTCATCACTCTCACTAATTCCCTTTGTGGTTTATGTCCCCTCCCAACATGTGTCTTCCCAGGTTGTTGGAGCCCCTGGCTGGCACTGCTCAGCTGCTCCATAATTAGTCCTCACACCACACTCAGCAGCAAGGCATTCACAGCAGACTCTTCTCACGTTTTCTTTAAACATTAGATATAATAACAGAAATAGAAATTGGAGATTCTCAGGAATCTGAGTGGAAAGAAGAGACTGAAGAATTTTTTCTAAAAAAAAAAAAACAAAACCACATGAAAAGGGTGAAAAAAAGACCCTTTCTTTCTCTGGATAAGCACTAATCTAGACCATAGAATACTGCCCACTCCTAATTTCCAATTGAAGTTGAATTCAAAGAAGGGGAATACTCCCTAAATAAGTTACAGTGGGACTTCCCCTGGTCCTCTGCCAGGCCCCACACTCTCCCTCTGCCATCAGACTTACCTTAACTGCCCAGGGCATTGGCCAGTGGTGTCCCATGGCCCTTCCCTGGCATCCCGAGGGGCTCAGCCCCTCCATTCCCACATTCAGCCTCTTCCCCTCGGACTGGACCCACCTCCCGAGATGGAAGAACCCAGCCCTGGCTCTGGAGCACCCCCAGCACCAGAGGATCTGAGCATGCAGAGCCCCAGCTGGGAATGGCACCGACAATAAATCATCAACACCCGTTTTCCTTCCCTGCAGATTCATGTTATGTAAGTTACTCCAGCCATAAACTGTAAACAGCATCAAATGCACTTCTTTGCATCCCAGCATGTTGGGGGAGATCATAAAAGCACTTAATATATTATTTAAGCCGTTTAAGGGAGATGGCACAAGTGCTGTAATTAGCAACAGTTCTCCAAATCCCCCCATGCCAGACAAAGGATCACATTCAGCATTTCCAGGCTGGTGGGAGGGAATCAGAACATCACCCAAATTAAATGGCACACGCTGCTTTTCTTCCCCCTCTGCCAATCTCAGCAGAGCCCGTGTCTCACTCCAGCCTCCCCCTGCACACCATGCAAGGGACTGAAACCACCACCTCAAAAAGACTGGTCTTTTCTGGTCTTATTGCTTTAAGTAGAACAAGGCTTTAAGAAAGAGAAATGAAGCCACTTCTGCTGGCAGTGACCTTCTGCAGGCTGGAGGGGAATTCTCTTGCTTTTTCCTTTTAATAAAACCAAAACCAAAAGAAAAAGCCTGAGCTTCACTGCCCTGTGCAACCCCAGGACTCAGCAGGTGCCTCATCCCAGCCTGGTGCCACCCACTGCCCTGGCAGTGGTCTCAGTCTGGGTCCCCTGGCTCTGAGCCCCAGTTGCTCTGACCACTTTTTACTTTCCATCCTCTTCACATGCCCAGACACAACCTGGAAAAGGTGTGTCCCCAGGGAGTGCTGCAGAGCAGAGCCTCAACACTGGCAACAGATAACAGGACAGGACAACCCCTTCTGGGGGCCTGACATTTGATTTCTCTGTACTGCAGAGAGAGGAAAACCCCCATTGTTCTTCTACAGCTTTTATTATTTTTGCATCATCCCTCCCTCCTTTCTTTTTGTTGCTCCCTGTGTGGGCTGCAGTTTGACTTGCACAGCTGGTGCCTCGTGCACGTCCCTGATCCCGGGGCATCCCCTGCCCCGTTCCCCAGGCAGGGCTGGCTGGGCAGAGGGGAACCAGTCTGAGCCTTCCCCAGTTCTCTGACTCACTGCTGAGATGGGGGTAACCCTGGGAGGGAGGGGAAGTGAGCAAGGCAGAGATCACCCAGGGAGCCCAGATTATGGCATCCAGAAGATGATACAAGTCAAGGAATTTACACTATGAAGAGATACCCAACTTGTTATACGAGTGGCACCAAAGGGATGGGCTAATTAACATCTCATTAATAATGCCTATTTCGATTTGCATAAAAACTTATGAGGCACAATAAGGAGAAAAGCCTTCAACTATCTTGTTTCTCCCAGGGTGCAAGTTGCAAAGTGTGGAGGAAGCTGATAGTGCTCTTTCAGTTCCTGAGGAATTCAGGCAGCTTAAAAAAGTTTTTGGACATGAGCAAACACCATCAATAAGCTCGTGGAGAGCTGGCTGAGAAGGCAAGGATAAACATCTACAAAACTGCTGAAGGACAAAATAATGTTGGAGCACCTGAAGATACATCTGTTGAGGACGGGGTGTCCAGCACTGAGGTGAGCCACTGGCACCTTTGGGCACTGTGTCTTCCAGTATGGGAATACCTGGAACACACCTGATGGGATCTTGCAAGAAGTGGATGAAAGAGAAGCAGGTGTATTTCTGGTTGTACACACCCCTTGTCACCGATCCTGTCTGTGTTTATACCACATTAATTCTAACAAGAGGTTAAATGAGCAGCTCCCAACACTTACCAAAAGCAGCTCCTGTGGCATTAAGATGCCTCTGACAGTGCCATGTAGAAACAACAGCTGGCCCGAATTCTCCTTCACATCTCTCCCCCTCATACAACTTATTAACTCTGTATTCATTTGCAGGGAGGAGATGGGTCTTTGCTTGGCTGTGAAAGCTTTCAACACCCTCAAGCAGCAGGAAAGGGATTTCCAGGTGGAATTAGCAAAGCCTCCACCCCTACAGTCCAAGCAGTTGCTGAGTATCATTGATCACTCCTTCAAATGGAGCATTCACCACCCTCCTGGTAAGAACAGGTTCCTGGAAACCATTCCTTGTTACAGTTCCTCTCTGGCATTACATTGCAATACATCTGGCAACGATGCTGGGAGTTCATGTTTAACTAAACCACATGTACAGGCAGTTGGTTTAAGTGTAATGTAAAATACCTGTATATTTATCTGCCTTTATCAGCTCTCCTTCCTGTGATCTGTCAGTAAATAAATACCATTTCAGCTGCCTGCATTTACCAGATGCACCCAGCCCCATCACATCTCACGTGGTAAGCACACTAAATCTGCCCAAAGCAGCAAATTACAAACAGCAGCACACACAGAGCATCTTCCCAACTGCTTCCTCTCTGGCTCCCTGCCTGCTCTGCACTGCAAGAGCTGCTGCACTACAGGACTTGGGTAATGTTTGCACTTGCACAGCTCCTGGAAGATGAAGACACTCAAATACAGAAATTAATATTCACAGGAGAGCTGTCAGGGGAAAGGAAGGGTTTCCCCTGAGGTGCACTGTTACAGTGCAGTGTGTCTGACTGGCACTGGGCTCCTTTGCTCCCAGGGACAAACAGGAGATGCCTGATCTGTTTGAACTCTTCCCATCCAGCTACAACACCCTCTCAAAGGATTCCTGCCCTGAGCAGGCAATCCAATCCCAGGGATTTCCACAGCTGTGGGGTGTGTTAGGCACCTTCCAGCAGGAGAGGTTCCAGAGGGGAGGGGGAAGCAGGACAGCCACAGACTCGTGGGGGCTCAAAGACACATCTCAGGTCTGGTCTCTCAGGAGTGAACCAGGCTGATGGACAAGTGAATGCAGGGAGAGCCTCAGCTGAAGCCTGGCCAGGAGTCCATCTGTGCCTCCCACCTGCATATTCCTGCTTTGGCTGAGCTCCCAGCGCCGCCGACACGGGAAGGTAGAACAAAGCCTTGGGTTTTCAAGGGGAACTCGAGGCCTTCTCAATCCTCTGAAAGGCAAAGTGTACACATGATAAGCCAAGAGAGCCATTCCACGCTGCAGTCACATGCTGGGTGGAAGCTGTAATCTCACAAGGACACAGATATGGCCATGCAAATATGGGTTATGCCTGTGCTAACAACCTGCTTATGTCCCCAGAGCTCCCAAAGGGCCTTTAATCTGCCTGCTAATGCAGGTGAAAGCTCGTGCTGAAGAAGCTTCATTTCTCTTGTGCTCCCATTAGCCAGGAACCTGCTGCCCTTCCATACCCTGACCTGAGAGGTGAGGACATAAACTGGCAACTTCTTGGATTAAATCCTTGGAGGTGAAAAGGAGCTGCCACAGAGGGGACAGATGTCACCATTGCAGGCACAGCAGGAGGGCGGTTGGCATTGGGAAACCAGTTGCATTTTCAACACATCCCCTTCAGCCAAACCACCTCTAAGAGTCCTCCCAAGAGCCAGGCTGAGGCAGCACAGCTCCAGTTAGCTGTGCTATCCCTCTGCTTCACTCTGCAGAGCTCACCTCGTGGAAAATCCCAGACAGGAGGGAAAAGGCCGCAGACATCTTGAGGGGAGGGCCTGTCTCAGTGGATGTTTGTCACTGTGGAACTCAATCGTGGGTAAAGGCCAAACTTCCCTCAGACAGCCTGAAAACGAGGTCCTGTCTCTGTCTCCAGCCCCACCAGCGGGTCCTTCCCAAGGTGAGCCCTGCCCGGGGCCGGAGCTCACACCGCCGGCTGCAGGGGGGACCTCGGCCCAGAGCCAGGGATGCCCCAGAGAGAGGGCCCTTTGTGCAGCCCTGGGATGGCTCTGGGTGCCAGAAGCGACCTGGCACAGGAGCCCAGCTGAGTCCCAGCTGCAGCAATGACACTGATTGTCCAGGGACACAACAATGGCACTTGTCTCACTGGCTGGGCCACGGCGAGCCCAGCGCGTTTCCCTTTGGGAAAGCATTTCGCCTGCAAGGGAATTTCCAAAACAAATGCCTCTAACCCCAAGCCTTTCCAGACTTCCTGCTGGCAAGGGCAGTGTATTCATTCCAAAAAGGAGAGCTTTAAAAGAGATGACACCCAGGAGAGAGAGAGATCTCACTGCTGTTGGCTTTCACCATCACCCGTGAAGGAGGTGACCTTGAATTCCCATTGCGCTGTGATGGGAATTGAGGCCTCAACTCCAAGCAGCTCCCTGATAAAACCCAGGATTTTGGGTTTGTCACAGGTCAGCCACAGCCCCTTTGCCACCAATAAAAGCTGCAGACAGAACACCCTGGTGTTACAGTGACCCACAACCACATATTTCCACCTCACAAGTGGCTGCCAGCCCGGGTTTGATTGGTGCCATTAGGAAGGGGTGGCCATTGTTTACCTGGTAATTTATTAGAGGCAGCATTTCCAAAAGGGACCTAAAGGAGGCACCTCATTCTTATGGACTTGTAATGATCATTGAATACATCCTTCATTGAGCAGCTCTGAAAACCCAGTCTGGAATGATTTGGCAGAAACAGAAATACCTCTGAGCCTCAGGACAGGGTTTGTCAATGGTGGTTTTTTAAAGAGAAGATGAAAGATTTGCAAGAGCTGGGAGACTAACCCACGGGTCTGGCAATTTGCAGGTCACAGAGAAGGACCTGGGCAGAGAGGGCTCCAGCATGCCAGACCCTGATCATCTGCACAGAACACCCTGAAAATGGTGAGGGATGGACGGAATTTAACAGTAGAAAAAGTCAGTGGCATCTCAGGTGAGAAAGAGAGAGGGAACAAATGAAACCCAGCCAAAAAGCAGGAGGAGACACTTCACTGTGTACCTTTAGCAAGACAAGACACTGAGCCCTGGCAGAGGTTAAGGGTCACCTCCCCCCAGACCTCTGTCCCCTCCTGCCCAGCACTGGTGGCACCACACCAGTGGCACCACACCGGTGGCACCTCACCAGTGGCACTCCCAGGCTCCTGCCCCACAGGGCATTTGGACACAGACTTTGGCCCTGCATTTCCAGGCCCTGGAAGTGAGGCTGGATATCAGCAGCAGATTTGTACAGCCTGATCCAACTGCCAGAGGCTCACAGGTCACACAGATAATTCCAGCAGAGGCCGTGTGGGAGCTGCTCCTGCCCAGCACAAAGCCCATTTCAACCTCCTGCCCACCAGCAACCACTTCTGTGCCTGAGCATCTCCTATAGCAGGGGAGGGAACTGCAGCACTTCCCTGGGAATTCAGCTCCACAGGGTTAAAACACATTTAAGCACAACCATAAACATATCTCCTGAGCAAAGGCTGGGCACACCAGGAAGTTCAAAGGTCTACAAGAAACACATACTTCCAGGAGTTTATTAAAAAATAATTAGAATCAGGTCTACCAGGAAAAAAAAAAAAGTCAACTAAGAAATTGTTTTGAATAAATTAGAAAACAGGGACAAGCTCGTTGGGTCACTGGGACACATGTAAAAAGGAGTTGTGGTCATTTGAGAGCTGGCACTGATAAGGCCACAAATAAGTTTGAGGCTGCAGTTAACAGCTCTCTCCTGCAGGTACAGACCAGCCACAGTTTCTGCTCTTAGTTTGTGTGGAAACAAACCCATTTAGTTACTTCCAAGGCTCCAAAAAGATACTCCACTGAAAAGGAAATCAAACCTGCTGTAAAGAGAAAACCTCAAACACAGGTTCCTGTTGGGAGCTGGAGACACTCGAGATTCATGAGAGGCATTAACAAAGCAGCTGCCAGCTCGGGGCGGCAGGTGGTGACAGGTGACAGGTGCTCCTGCTCCCTTAAACCTGGGAATGGGGCTCCATGTCCTCTGCTAAGGACAAACCCCGCTCCTCCCTCAAAACAAGGACTACAAAGCCAACAACCCCCTAAAACACCTTCCCACCCTTCTGCTCTCCTTGAAAACCGCGACCAAACCACACAACTCTGCATCTGCCTTTCCCAAGGATGGAAAAAAGGCCAAGCCCAAGCGGTGGGTGAGAGGAATTGCTCAGGGAGGCAGCGGGATGTGCTGGGGACGAGCTGCCCCCAGAGCGGCCACAGGAGGAGTGACAAATCCACCGTTGTGTAAGGGTGACAAACGCCCTTTGTCATGCGAGACAAGGGGGAGAGAGAGAAGCATCTTTGCCCTTTGTGGGGTGGGAAGAGCAGGCGGCACAAACAACAGGCCGTGGGCACTCCAGGGGCAGATCCCAGGCCCGAGCCAGCACAAAAGCACAGGATCCATATTTAATTGGTGGGTGATTGGGGCTGTCAGCACGGTAAGGGGGTGATTTGGGGGGTTTGTTAAGGACAGAGGCTGCAGGGCAGCCATCCCTAGCCTTGCTCCCCAGTCATCTAAAATTAGGGATCCACCTCCCCTTCGCTCCATACTGGGCTTTTAGGGGTTTTTTTAAAAATTAAAATCAGTATTCATATCATTTAATTAATAAAAAGAATAATTAAAGAGCCCCACTCATCTGAATTTAAACACTGGTCCCAACTCCTTGTTTTCAGAGTTGG